CACCCTCATCCCGGGAGCACCCTCATCCTGGGAACACCCTCATCCCGGGAGCGCCTCCGTGTCCGGATGCTGCTGCCAGCCCAGCAGGGAGCCGGGGTGGCCCCAGCCGCAGAGGTGCACTGCATTGCACTGCATCGTGCTGCATTGTGCTGCATCGCGCTGCACGTGGCGGCTGCACGTGGGCACCTGGCGCAGCTGCAGCGGCCGCTCCGTCCCCTCCGCTCCGAGCTGGAGTTTGACTCTGTGCAGAATAAAGCGGGTGCGGAGCCCTGGCGCCGGGCGCAGCTTCCCGCGCGAGCAGCAGCAGGAGGAGGAGGGCGGCGGGCGCCGGGCAGCGGGGGCTGGCGCGGGGGCTCCGGGGGCTCTGGGGAGCTCGGGCTGCGCTGCCCCTGCTGCAGCTGCAGCTCTGGGGCGCATGGGCTGCATGGGGCGCACAGGGGCTTGGGAGCGTGGGGCACATCGGGGGCACGGGGCGAGCGGGGCACCCCACAGGGCTGTGCGGGGCAGGGGGGCGCGGGGCAGCGCGGGGCCATATGGGCCCATAGGGACCATATGGGGCCATAGGGGCCATAGGGGCTGCGCGTCACCAGCGGGGCCGCTCGCCCGGCCCGTGCGGCCGCAGCCGGGAGCAGGTCCCACGCGGGGGCTCCTGGCCACACGCGGCCCCTGCAGCCACGCGGCGGCCACCGGGAGGGACCTGCAGCCCTGCATGGGGCTGGGAACGGGCTGGGAATGGGCTGGGAATGGGCTGGGAACAGGCTGGGAGGGCTGACCACAGTGTAACTGCATCCCTGCTCCCCACTGCATCCTTGCTCACTGCATCCCTGCTCCCCGCTGCATCCTTGTTCCCTGCCGCATCTGGGCTTGTTGCATCCCTGCTTCCTGTTATATCCCTGCTGCATCCCTGTTCCCTGCAACATCCCTGCTTGTTGCATCCCTGCTTCCCATTATATCCTTGCTGCATCCCTGTTCCCTGCTGCATGTCTGCTCCATGCTGCTGCATGCTGAATCTCTGCTCCCTGCAGCATCCCTGCTCTGTGCTCCCCTCTGCATCCCTGCTCCGTGCTCCGCACTGCCTCCCTGCTCCGTGCTGCATCCCTGCTCCCTGCTCCCCGCTGCATCCCTGCAACCTGCTGCATCCCTGCTCCGTGCTGCATCCCTGCTCCCCGCTGCATCCCTGTTTCCAGCTCTCCGGCACCGGCTCTTGCCGAGCCTGACTCCCCTGAAGGGACCGCGGCAGCCGGAGCCCGTCCGCCCCGGGACGGTGCCGGAGGCCCTGACCCCATGGTGGCTGCAGAGCTGGCACCGCGGTCCCCATGCAGCCGCATTCCCATGCAGCCGCGTCCCCCCTGCTGCAGCTGCATCCACCCCGCTGCAGCCACATCCCCCATGCAGCCGCATCCCCCTGCTGCAGCAGTTCCCCCACTGCAGCCACATCCCCCATGCAGCCGCATCAACCCCGCTGCAGCTGCACCCCCTGCTGCAGCTGCATCCACCCCACTGCAGCCACACCCCCTGCAGCCGCATCCCCCCTGCAGCTGCGTCCCCCCTGCAGCTGCGCCCCCCCGCTGCAGCCACATCCCCCATGCAGCCACGTCCCCCATGCTGCAGCCACGTCCCCCCGCTGCAGCCACATCCCCCATGCCATGCTGCAGCCGCGTCCCCCCGCTGCAGCCACATCCCCCATGCAGCCGCATCCCCCCTGCTGCAGCTGCATCCACCCCGCTGCAGCCACATCCCGCATGCAGCTGCATCCCCACGCAGCCGTGTCCCCGCCGCTGCAGCCACATCCCGCATGCAGCTGCATCCCCACGCAGCCGTGTCCCCGCCGCTGCAGCCGTGTCCCCTGTGCCCCGCTGGCTCCGGGCGGCCCGGCCGGGGCGCGCGGGGCCGCGCCGCTCAAACATTAACGCGCCGCTCACGGCCCAGCGGCTGCCCCGGCCGCGGCCCTTGCGCAACGCGCGCCCCATAAAGCGGCGCCCGCGGCCCGCCCGGCGCCGCCACCATGAGCAGCCTCCGCACGGTGAGTAGGGGCTGGCGGCGCCAGGGCCCGGCCCCGCGGCGCGACCCCCATGGCGGGACCCGGCACCCAGCCCCATGGCGGGACCCCTGCCCGGCCCCATGGGGCTCAGCCCCCCGGCTTCCCTGAGCGTCCTCTCGCTGCACTTGTCTCTCACATGCTGGGGATCTGGGTGTATCGCCCTGTGCCATGGGGCAGAGCCCCAGGCATTGCCCCTGTGCCATGGGACAGAACGGCGGGCATTGCCCCTGCCCTGTGCCATGGGGCAGAGCCTCTGCCTCGTGCAATGGGACAGAGCCCCAAGCATCACCCTCACCATGGGGCAGAATCGCGGGCATTGCCCCTGCTCCGTGCCATGGGGAACAGCCCCGAGCATCGTCCTGCGCCATGGGGCAGACTTGGGGGTGTCCCCTGCCCCACATGGTGGGTCTGTCCCCACGCGGAGCCGCAGGGCATGGGCCCCCTGCTCGCCCGGCCGCGTGGGGCCCGGCTCGGCTCTGCCGTGGGGCTGCGTCGCGTTGGGATCTGCAGCCCCCCCGGGCCCCCAGCATCCGTGGGGCGGCAGCTCCGCGCAGGGGCAGGGATCACCCCCCGGGGAGCCAGCGCGGCACAAACGTGGGCACGTGCAGGGCGGCCGCGTGCCTGGAGTTTGGTCCTTGTCCCCGGCCCCGTGCCCATGGGGCCGTGCCCATGCCCATGGGGCTGTGCCTGTGTGTATGGGGCTGTGCCCATGGGTCTGTGCCCGTGCCCATGGGGCCGTGCCCATGGGGCCGTGCCTGTGCCCATGGGTCTGTGCCCGTGCCCATGCGGCCGTGCCCGTGTCTGTGCCCATGTCCACAGGGCTGTGCCCGTGTCCATGGGGCCGTACCCGTGTCTGTGCCAATGGGACCATGCCCATGCCCATGGGGCTGTGTCCATGGGACCATACCCATGCCCATGGGGTCGCTCCCATGCCTGTGCCCGTACCCATGCAGCCATGCCCGTGTCTGTGCCCATGTCCATGGGGCTGTGCCCGTGTCCATGGGACCGTGTCCATGCCCATGGGGCTGCTCCCGTGTCTGTGCCCGTGCCCATGTGGCCATGCCCGTGTCTGTGCCCATGTCCATGGGGCTGTGCCCATGTCCATGGGGCTGTGCCTGTGTCCATGGGACCGTGTCCATGCCCATGGGGCTGCTCCCGTGTCTGTCCCCGTGCCCATGCGGCCGCTCCCGTGTCTGTGCCCATGGGGCTGTGCCCGTGTCCATGGGACCATGCCCATGCCCATGGGGCCACTCCCGTGTCTGTGCCCGTGCCCATGTGGCCGTGCCCGTGTCTGTGCCCATGTCCATGGGGCTGTGCCCATGTCCATGGGGCTGTGCCTGTGTCCATGGGACCGTGTCCATGCCCATGGGGCCGCTCCTGTGTCTGTCCCCGTGCCGATGCGGCCGCTCCCGTGCCTGTGCCCGTGCCAGCGCAGCCCGGGCTGCTCCTGCAGCTCACGGGCCAGGCAGCCCCAGCGCCCTCCGCTCTGCTCCGGATGGAGCCGGTGCCACCGGCACCGCGGCAGCCGGGAGAGGTGCTGGGGGTGGTGCCGGTCCGGCCAGCGCAGGCTGTCGGTGCCACTGGTGCCACCCGAGGCGCTGGGGTGCCGCCACGCGGGCTCTGCTGCCCCATTGCCGCGTGGGGCGCGCGGCCCCCACCCCTGCTCAGCCCTCGTCCCCGTGCCAGGACGCCGGGGAGCAGCGGCCGGAGCCGGGGCCCGCGCCCGGCAAGGCCACGTCCCAGCTCCGCAACTACACGGTGCGTCCGCGGCGGCACCCGCAGCGCGGCGGCACCCGCAGCGCAGCAGCGCCCGGCGGCGCCGGACACGCGCCCGCTGCAGCCGGGCTGCGCAGGATGCGCCTGCTCGGGGCTGGGTGTGCTCGGGGCTGGGGGCACCCGGGGCTGGGTGCACTTGGGGTCTGGGTGCACCTGGGGTCTGGGTGCGCTTGGGGTCTGGGTTTGCTTCGGCTCTGGGTGCGCTTGGAAGGTCCTGCTGCAGGGGCGGCCTGTGCTTGGGGCCCGGGTGCAACTGGGGTCCCGCTCTGTGGGTTGGGTGCGCTTGGGGGGACTCTGCACGGGGCCAGGGGTCTGGGTGCGCTGGGGGTCTGGGTGCGCTGGCGTCCTGTTCTATGGGGCTGTAGGGTGCTGGGGTCCTGTTCTATGGGGCCCTATGGGGCAGGGGCCTGTTCTATGTGCCCGGGCACTGGGGGCTGTTCCACGTGCCCGGGCACCGCAGCAGGGGCAGCGGCTGGAGCGCGTCTACAGCACCTACCTGCAGATGCACACGCACCAGACCGTGCGCTTCGTGCGGCAGAAGGTAGCGGCGGTGCCGGGGGGTCCCGCGCGGTGCGGGGGGGGTCCCGCGCGGTGCCGGGGGGTCCCGCGCGGTGCTGGGGGGTCCCGTGCAGTGCCAGGGGGTCCCACACGGTGCCAGGTGGTCCCGTGCGGTGCAGGGGGGGTCCTGTGGTGCCGGGGGGTCCCGCGGTGCCAGGGGGTCCCGCGCGGTGCCGGGGGGGCCCGTGCGGTGCGGGGGGGTCCCGCGGTGCCGGGGGGTCCCGTGCAGTGCCAGGGGGTCCCACACGGTGCCAGGTGGTCCTGTGCGGTGCAGGGGGGTCCCGCGGTGCCGGGGGGTTCCGCAGTGCCGGGGGGTCCCGCGCGGTGCCGGGGGGTCCCGCGGTGCCGGGGGGTTACGCAGTGCCGGGGGGTCCCGTGCAGTGCCAGGGGGTCCCACACGGTGCCAGGTGGTCCCGTGCGGTGCAGGGGGGGTCCCGTGGTGCCGGGGGGTCCCGCGCGGTGCCGGGGGGGTCTCGGGGTGCCAGGGGGTCCCGAGGTGCCGGGGGGCCCCGTGTGGTGCCGGGGGGGTCCTGCGGTGCTGGGAGGGGGTCCCGTGGTGCCTGAGGGTCCCGCGCGGTGCTGGGGGGGTCCCGTGGTGCCGAGGGGGGTCCCGCGATGCCGGGGGGGTCCCGTGCAGTGCTGGAGGGGTCCCGCGGTGCAGGGGGGGTCCTGCGGTGCCGGGGAGGTCCCGCGCGGTGCTGGGGGGTCCTGCGGTGCCGGGGGGCCCCGTGCGGTGCTGGGGGTCCCGTGGTGCCAAGGGGGGTCCCGCGGTGCCGGGGGGTCCCGTGATGCCGGGGGGGTCCCGCACGGTGCCGGGGGGTCCCATGGCGCCGGGGGGTCCCGCGGTGCCAGGGGGGTCCCACGCAGTGCCGGGGGGTCCCGCGCGGTGCCGGGGGGTCCCGCAGTGCCGGGGGGTCCCGTGCGGTGCCAGGGGGGTCCTGCGGTGCTGGGGGGTCCCGCGGTGCCGGGGGGGTTACGTGCGTTGCTGGGGGGGTCCCGCGCGGTGCCGGGGGGTCCCGTGCGGTGCCAGGGGGTCCTGTGGTGCTGGGGGGGGTCCCGCAGTGCCGGGGGGTCCCGTGTGGTGCCAGGGGGGTCCCGCGCGGTGCCGGGGGGGTCCCGTGGCGCCGGGGGGTCCCGCGGTGCCGCCCCAGCGCCCGCCCCCCGCCGCAGCACGCGCAGTTCGGCCGCTGCGCGCTGCGCACCATGAGCGTCATGGAGGCGCTGGAGCTGCTGGACGCGCTCGTGGACGACTCGGACCCCGACGTCGACTTCCCCAACTCGCTGCACGCCTACCAGACGGCCGAGGGCATCCGCCGGGCGCACCCCGACAAAGGTAGGGGCGCGGGGGGCCGGGGGGGCCCGCGGCGGCGCTGCGCCCACGCACCCTCGCCCGCAGGCTGGTTCCAGCTGGCGGGGCTGCTGCACGACCTGGGCAAGGTGCTGGCGCTCTTCGGCGAGCCGCAGTGGGCCGTGGTGGGCGACACCTTCCCCGTGGGCTGCAAGGTGCAGCCCTCCGTGGTCTTCAGCGACTCCACCTTCCAGGACAACCCCGACCGCGGGCACCCGCTCTACAGGTGAGGGGGGCGCCGGGGCCGGGCGGGCGCTGGGTGCCCCCCGCGCTCACCGAGCTCCCGCAGCACCGAGTGCGGCATGTACGAGCCCGGCTGCAGCCTCGACAAGGTGCTCATGTCCTGGGGACACGACGGTAAGACCACCGGCGTGGTGCCGTGGTGCACAGTGCCATGGTGCCTCGTGCCATGCTGCGCCGTGCTGTGCTGTGCTGCACTGGGCCCTGGTGCATCGTGCCATGCTGCGCCGTGCTGTGCTGTGCTGCATAGTGCTGTGGTGCACCATGCTGTGCCGTGCTGTGCTGCACGGTGCCATGGTGCACCATGCTGTGCCGTGCTGCACCGTGCCGTGGTGCACCATGCTGTGCTGTGCTGTGCTGTGCTGCATGGTGCTGCGGTGCACCATGCTATGCCGTGCTGCACGGTGCCGTGGTGCACGATGCTGTGCCATGCTGTGCTGCACGGTGCCGTGGTGCACCATGCTGTGGCACGCTGTGCTGCACGGTGCCACGGTGCACCATGCTGTGCCATGCTGTGCTGCATGGTGCCGTGGTGCACCACGCTGTGCCGTGCTGTGCTGCACGGTGCCGTGGCGCACCATGTTGAGCCACACTGTGCTGTGCTGCATGGTGCCGCGGTGCACCACGCTGTGCCGTGCCGCACGGTGCTGTGGTGCACCACGCTGCGCCGTGCCTCATGGTGCCACGGTGCACCATGCTGTGCCGTGCTGTGCTGTGCTGCATGGTGCTGTGATGCACCATGCTGTGCTGTGCTGCACGGTGCCACGGTGCACTATTCTGTGCTGCGCTGTGCTGTGCTGCATGGTGCTGCAATGCACTGTGCTGTGCCGTGCTGTGCTGCACGGTGCCGTGGTGCACCATGCTGTGCTGCACTGTGCTGTGCTGCACGGTGCCGTGGTGCACCATGCTGTGCCACACTGTGTTGTGCTGCACGGTGCTGTGGTGCACCACGCTGTGCCGCGCCGCACGGTGCTGTGGTGCACCACGCTGTGCCGCGCTGCACGGTGCTGTGGTGCACCATGCTGTGCCGCGCTGCACCGTGCCATGCGGCAGAGCTGCCACCGGCGGGGCTGGGGCTGCGCGCGGCGGCTCCGTGCTCGTGCCGCGCTCACGCCGCGCTCGTGCCGCGCTCCCCCAGAGTACATGTACAAGGTGCTCAAGTTCAACAAGGCGGCGCTGCCTGAGGAGGTGAGCGGGGCGGGGAGGGTGCATGGGCCCTGCTGCGGCAGCTGCACTGCCCACGGCCCTGCTGCAGTAACTGCACTGCCCACGGTCCCACTGCGGCAGCTGCACTGCCCATGGCCCCGCTGCAGCGGCTGCACTGCCCACAGGCCCCGCTGCAGTAACTGCACTGCCCACGGGCCCTGCTGCAGTAACTGCACTGCCCATGGCCCCGCTGCAGCGGCTGCACTGCCCATGGGCCCTGCTGCAGCGGCTGCACTGCCCACGGCCCCACTGCAGTGGCTGCACTGCCCATGGGCCCTGCTGCAGCGGCTGCACTGCCCATGGCCCCACTGCAGTGGCTGCACTGCCCATGGCCCCACTGCAGCGGCTGCACTGCCCATGGCCCTGCTGCAGTAACTGCACTGCCCACAGGCCCCGCTGCAGCGGCTGCACTGCCCACAGCCCTGCTGCGGCAGCTGCACTGCCCACGGCCCCGCTGCAGTGGCTGCACTGCCCACAGGCCCCGCTGCAGCGGCTGCACTGCCTATGGGCCCTGCTGCGGCAGCTGCACTGCCCATGGCCCCGCTGCAGCGGCTGCACTGCCCATGGGTCCAGGGCTGCACTGCCCATGGCCCCACTGCAGCGGCTGCACTGCCCACGGGCCCTGCTGCAGTAACTGCACTGCCCATGGCCCTGCTGCAGTAACTGCACTGCCCACGGCCCCGCTGCACCGGCTGCGCTGCCCGTGGGCCCCATGGCAGCGGCTGCACTGCCCATGGGTCCAGGGCTGCAGTGCCCATGGCCCCGCTGCAGTAACTGCACTGCCCACAGCCCTGCTGCAGTAACTGCACTGCCCATGGCCCCACTGCAGCGGCTGCACTGCCCACG